TGGGCGCCTGAGGAGGGTTTGTTGGGGGCGGGGCAGTGGGGCGCGTGTGTTCTGGGCTCTTCCCAGGCGGCCGTTCCCCTCCCCCCCCGCCCCCCCCGGGCGGTGGGCCGCTTGCCGGCCCCCTGGAGAGCGTCAGGCGCCACGCCGGGAGAGTGGAAACACCGGGAGGGGCCCCTGTGGCTAGTTCGGATCACGGAGGGTCCACCCGGCCCGGCCTCCTGACTCACCCGCAGCGGCCTTCCGCTGACCTTGCGGGATTGAGGGGATTAATGCCTCTGAATGTGGCGGTTCCCCTCAGTCACCCGGGCTAATAGCCATTGATGGACTGATCCTCCACGGATCTAGCTAATCCCCCTTTAAAGCTCTTTATTCCTGTCAGGCCCGTCACGACACCCTCTGGGGGCGAACCCCGCCTTTTAGTCACCCTCCGTGTAAAGCCGCGTTCGCTTTTTGTCCGTCCTGAACCTACTGCCCGTCAGCCTCATGGGGTGCCCTTGAGATCCATTATTTTGGGAGACGGAGAGAAATCTCTCTTGGCCCGCTCTCTCCACCCCGGGCATAATTTTATAAACCTCTGTCACTCACCCCTTAGTTGTCTCTTTTCTGAACTTAAAAGTCCCTGATTGGCTTGCTTGCTTTTGCAATTACTATCCACCAAAAGAGCCACCTGACTACTCTGGAATTTATTTTGAACCAAAGGGCTTAATTCCCCTGTTGTTAGCTTCCAACCCTTATCCTACATGGTGCTCAAAGATAACTGATAAAATTAAGCTGATTGGCTTGGATTCAGCAGGCCTGTTTGATATGGAACTCAACAAAGCAAAAGCCTTCATCGCCCAAAGATCACTTGATATAGAGTACCAAAATGATGTAGCAATACTTCCTTTAAACTATAAAAGCTTAAGAAAAGGATTGAGCTACACTATATCCTCATATCTTTTGGATATTACAAACAAAAGATGCAGGTGGGCCTTCTCTAGAGCACAGTTTAACGCACTTCCCTCTGCAGTTTTGTATGGGAGATTCTCCCACCTGCCCTTGCAGCAGCGTTGCTGTCCCTGTTCAAACAAAGTGATTGAATCTATCACACATATACTTTTGTACTGCAAATTCTGTCAAGAAGAAAGGCTACAATTAATTAATCCATTAATCTGCAGATTCAAACCATTACAGTATTCTATAGATTTTAGTCCTGAAACCCTTCGGGTATATCTATTAGGTGATAGTCCGAGAACTGTATCATATACAGTAGCAAAATTCTGTGTGATAGCACTCAAAAAGCAGTATCACTTGACGACGAAAACGTCAGTTGCTGGGAAATAAATTAATGAAATGAGTGTGTTTTTTACACATATATGAGTGTGTCTTTTACACATATATCCTGTATCTTTTATGTATTTATCTATTTTAACTTGTCCTTTTTATCTGTATTTATTGTGACTGGTCTTATAACCATAATAAACGTTTGGTTTGGTTTGGCATGCCTGCCATGCAGTAAAGTGGGGTTGCCCATCTTCTGCTCTCCAAAGTACAGAGATCAGTTTCCCAGGAGAAAATAGCAGTTTTGGAGGGTGGACTCTATGGTATACCATAGATTCTGGATGAAATCCCTCCCCAAACTCCACCCTCCACAGGTACCACCCCCTCCCCAAATCTCCAGGAATTTCCCAGGCTGGAGCTGGTAACCTTAGATACAATAATGTAACTGTTAATATTAAATGTACACCTATACTCGGAGGTGGTGGAAAAGGGTCGGAGGTGGAGTGGCTGGAGAACAGGTCTGCCAACTCTGAGTTGGGAAATACCTGGGGGGGGGGGGGGTGGCGGAGCCCAAGGAAGGTGGGGTTTGGGGAAGGGAGGGACTTCAGTGGGGTATAAGGCCATACAGTCCATCTTCCAAAGTGGCCGTTTTCTCCAGGTGGTCTCTGTCACCTGGAGATCAGTTGTGATGCCAGGGGCTTTCCAGCCACCGCCTGAAGGTTGACGATCCTACTGGACAGGACTGGACCTTTGCTGGACTCCAAGGCATCAAGGCCTGCAGCTCAGGAATGTGCGCCACTTTCCCATTCTCCAGTCCCTATGGTGGTGGCTGTTTCATGGTGTGAAACGTCACCAGGCATAAGCCTTTCCGGGCAATGGACTGTCCCAGCTTCCTGGAACTGAATGTGACTCTAGTACAGGGGTGTCAAACATGCAGCCTGGGGGTTGGATCAGGCCCCCGGAGGGCTTCTGTCAGGCCCGCAGTGGAACTGGCCATCTCCTGCTTCCAGTTCTGCTGCTGCATCACAGCTTGCTTCGCCAGACTCTCTTAATCGCTCAGCCATTTCATGTTTTTCTCTAGGTTCTAGACTCAGAACTCTGAGCATGAGATTTCTGTAGTGAATGTCAATAAACCAAAAGTAGGTTTGCAGCTTACAGAGCTAATGTTTCAAGCATGCTTTTATTTTAAGTAAACCCCCCCACGTTTGTGTTTGTGCCCTTTATAAAATTTATATCTCCGCTACCTGGCATTACATTTTATGACACACGTGGCCCGGCCCAACAAGGTCTCAGTTATGTCAGATCTGGCCCTCATAACAAATGAGTTTGACACCCCTGCTCTAGTACATCTGCCTCCTGCCTTTCCTCCAAAGAGCTCCTGGATCTTTCCTCCATTTCTTTTTTATCCTCGCAACAAACTCTTTGTCCTTGGCTCTGCTGACTCTGTGTGTGTGTGTGTGTGTGTGTGTTTGTGTGTGTAGGAGAGAAAGAGAGAGGCAGGTTCAAAGTTGCCTAGTGTTTTACACAACAGTAGCACTTTCTCCCTTTTCCCTGCACTTAACAAAATAATATAACCGTTCCATCTTATGGCGCTTCATGTATCAAGACCTCATTCATTATACTACAAATGATGAGAACCCAGGAAGAGCCCTGCGGGACCAGCCTTCATCCGGCATCTTGTCTCACACAGCAGCCAACCAGTTGCCCTAGAGCAGGGATTCTCAGCCTTTTGGAGCCCGTGGACACCTTTGGCACTGTGGGGTAGGCGCAGTCATTCCATGGCTGCTGCGGGAGGTGGAGCCAGCCATACAGTGGCTGTCTCAGCATCTCTCCTGTCCTACAGTGCTCATGCTTTGGTGGCAGCTGAAGCAATATCTTTAGACATCTGCACAGCCAATCTGATCTCCAGTGACCAATCAGAAGCCTTGCTGGGCAAAGGCTCCGCCGGGCCCTGCCCACTTTCTGAAAACACTAGGTGTGTGGCAGGACAGGTGCCAGTGGGCGCCGTGGTGCCCACAGACACTGTTTTGGGGACCCCTGCTGTAGAGGGCCAAGGAACGGCAGAGGCCAAGGCCTTCCCCTGATGTTGCCTTCTGGCACTGTTACAGGTTTACAGCCTCTGAACGCGGAGGTTACCTTTAGTCATCATGACTAATAGCTACTGATGGATTTATCCTCTGTGAATTGGTCTAATCCCCCTTTGCTTGTGGCCACCACTGCCTTCCTTCACAGTCTGTATCGCAATGGAATCACTGGGCTGGGTGAAGAAAGACTTCTTGTTTGTCCTGACTCAGTTGCCCTTCACTTTCCTTGGTGCCCCCAAGTCCAAGTGTAATGGGAGCAGGAGACCCCTCTATCCATAGTAGTAGTAGGCAGACAAATCTGCTAATCACTGTATTTCCCCTCCAGTGTTTATCTAGTGCAGCACTTCTTCCCCCATGCTGCCCCCCCCCAGGCATTCCTTTAGAAATGGCAGAGACGTGAGTCAGTTATGAATTTAGCAAAACCAGGCCATCCAGAGAAAAAGACTGGGATTTTTAGGCGTGCTGGCAAATATGAACTTGTCAGTAGGGAGAGAGACTTCATCCTCAGTGACATGAGGGTGTTCTTTACCAGGTGAAGCAATTTGCCTCCGTGCAGTGGGCGAGCTTCGGCTGCCCACTTATACATATCATGTTTCTATTAAAAGGAGAAGACATGTTCCTCCAGCGCTGCTTGTAACCCTGTTGCTGAGGATGGTTGAACAGTTGAGGGAAAACAGAAATAGAGGGGAAATCGATCTGCTCATTCCCTTTCCTATAGAGCCTTCTGCCTGTGCCTGTCTAAGATGGCATCAAATGGAGCACTCCTGTCCATGGAAAGAGGAAATGGCTCCACGTTGGAGTTCCTGCTGTACTCATGGAAGTGTCAGCAAACTGCCAATATGTCTATTCAGTGCATATGAGATGTGTCTACCCCCCCTCTCGCGGCCTTTCCCTAACTAGCATTGACTCTTGTGCGCATGTCCCCCCTCACCCTCAAGCGCTCATCATCAACTACATTCCTTTCCATGTACACTAGCGTTGCTTTGAAGGAACCTTATCAGCCCAGGCTACAGGTGGTTCGCATTCGGAGGCTTTTTGCTTAGTCTATAATGAACAGTAGTGTGAGAATAGAAGAATTGTTTAATCAGCTATAACCGTTGCTTTCTCAAGGTTTGAGCGCGAGATGAGCCCTCAAGGCGGGCGCGGGAACCATATCTATTGGCCCATGTTATTTTGAACTTGCTTTATTATACCTGTCTCAAGCCCTTTGTGTTATTCTGAACAGAACATCCGTTCTAAGTACTTCATGGCTTCAATAAAATAAAACCTTCCTGCAAGAGTGTATTTCATATTTTGCTGTGAGTCTGACAGGAAGGTCCTGGAATTACCAGTTAAAAGGGTCTGAGGCACCAGGCCTGGGGAAATGGGGGGGGAGACATTTCCCCCATTTTTCTGAGGACCGGAAAAAAAATTCCAGTGGGGAAAAATTGGAAACTTTGGGAAACAGTGGGAAAAAATCCTATGAAACATTTTCTGATTTGGAATGAATGAAATGCTT